AACTTTATAAAAAGATACATTAAGGAAGGGTAATGTGGTTGCATTGGATCCAAGCTTGACTATTGATTCCTTATTTCAGTATGAGACAGTATGAAGTGAATGGTGGTCGATGCTTTCAATTTACATTCTATTGCTGCTATATGCCAGTTCTGTATCTGTGTTTGGTGCATTTTTATATATTTTTGTGTTTTATCTATGCAATCTATTGTAATTGTATATATTTTATGTTCATATGTTTTTGCACATTTTTTGTACCTAGACTTGAGGGGGGTAATAAATAAATAACTAGTGGGACATGACTGGACTTAATGTCAGGGGACTACCTTTACCTTTACCTTTAGTAATACTACTACTACTACTACTACAACACATTGAGCAGATTCCTTCATCCCTTATCACATATGGCTTTTTATAGGATCCACAAATATGGGTCTTTTCTCTTTAGCAGGCATGGGCAAACTTCAGCCTTCCAGGTGTTTGGACTTCAACTCCCACAATTCCTAACAGCCTGCCAACTGTTAGGAATTGTGGAAATTGAAGCCCAAAACACCAGGAGGGCTGAAGTTTGTCCATGCCTGCTCTATAGGAACCACAATCATGGGTCCCACAGGACTAAAAGAAAGGGCAGTTCTCCCTTCAATTGCTGTCTTGTCTACCCCTTGGAAAGCTGTAGCAGTATCAAAAATAAATGGTCCGGTTGCTGATGACATGATAAATAAATAAAAAATAAATCGTCATTGCTACTTACTATATACCTTCAAGTCATTTTCAACTTAAAGCGGCCGTAAGGGGATTCCTTGGACTTAAGGTGTGCAAATTGCTCAAGCAGTGTAACATCCCACATCATCTGCTTTGAACTGGGTAATATGGCAGTGTGGACTCAGGGCCCTTCCACACAGTCATATAACCCGGAATATCGAGGCAGAAAATCCTACAATATCTGCTTTGAATGGGAATATCTGAGTCCACATGGCCATATATTCCAGTTCAAAGCAGATAACATGGGATTTTTTCCAGCTGTGTGGAAGGGGCCTCAAACAATCCAGTTCAAAGCAGATATTGTGGATTATTTGTATTGATATTCTTGATTATATGGCTGTGTGGGAGGGCCCTTGGTTTTCAGCCCTGCTCCTGGGGTTATTTGTGGCACTGATTCAGAAAATGCATTGGATAGACTGCATTGGATAGTTTCTTAGGGCCTTTCCACACAGCAATATAATCCATAATATTGAGGCAGAAAACCCCACAATATCTGCTTTCACACTGCCATATATCCCATATATCCCAGTTCAAAGCAGAAAATGTGGGATTTATACAGCTGTGTGGAAGGGGCCCAAGACACTCAGAAACGTTGCTGTCTGGAAGGGGCCTTAGATAGGGTTACTATGGTTTTCGATGGGTAAGCAGATCAAGATTGATATATGGCATAATTCCATATGGAACAATCTAGAGCTGGTATGGGAAAACTGCTGCCATTTTTAGAATCAGCAGATCAGAGTTACACACAAACAGGTTAACATTTGAGGCACCAAAATTTGTGCTGGCCAGTGTTGTTATTCATACTTGGAAATAGAGAAGGGTGGTCCATGAAAGATAAGCCTTGTGGTGTCTTGAAACTAGTGGAGGAAGGCCACTCATCAAAGTGAGGCAGAACATGGGCTCCAAGAAAGCTTTTCCTGAGGCCCCTTCCACAGAGCTGAATAAAATCCCACATGTTCTGCTTTGAACTGGAACATATGGCAGTGTGGACTTTGGGCCTTTCCTCACAGCCTTATATTCTATGATATCAAGGCAGAAAATCCCACATTATCTGAGTATGGCCACAGATAACCGAGTTCAAATCAGATATTGTGGGATTTTCCGCCTTGATTCTAGGATATAGGGTTGTGTGGAAGGGTCCACAGAAAACCCAGTTCAAAGAAGATATTTTGGGATTTTTCTGCCTTGATATCTGGGTTATGTGGCTGTGTGGAAGGGCTCTGAAACTTATTTCATGTTCTGCCTCACAGCTCTTGAGCAGGTCTTGAGGTGCCTTTGACAAAAGAAGGCTTGCCAAATCACATGCCAAATAAATAGACCCTTCCTCAAAGGGGGAGATAGATGGTGCTTGTGTGGGAACAGGAATCATTTTGGGCCCTTCCACACAGCCCTATATCACAGAATATCAAGGCAGGAAATCCCACATTATCTGCTGAACAGCTCTCACAGTCAAGAAGTTCTTCCTAATGTTCAGGTGGAATCTCCCTTCCTGTAGTTTGAAGCCATTGTTCTGTGTTCTGGCCTTCAGAGCAGCAGAAAACAAGCTTGCTCCCCCCCCCCCCATGACTTCCCTTCACATATTCATACATGGCCATCATGTCTCCCCTCAGCCTTCTCTTCTGCAGGCTAAGCATACCTAGCTCTTTAAACTGCTCTTCATAGGACTTGTTTTCCAGATCCTTGATCATTTTAGTTGCCTTCCTCTGGACATATTCCATCTTGTCTACATCTCTCTTAAATTGCAGTGCCCAGAATTGGACACAGTATTCCAGTTGTGGTCTGACCAAGGCAGAATAGAGGCATTGCATGACTTCCCTGGATCTAGTCACTATACTCCTATTTATGCAGGCCAGAATCCCATTTGAGCTGCCACATCACATTGTAGGCTCATGTTTAGCTTGTTGTCCACAAGGACTCCAAGATCTTTTTAACATGTACTGTTGTCCCACTCCTGTATTCCATAGCATTGAATAAATATGAGAGAAATAAGGTTGAATACTGTGGAAGCCATCCACTACATGGCTATCAGCCTCCTCCCAGTAGACACAAATCAAGGAAAAGCTTCATGAGAACCACCACTTCTCTTAACGTTCCCCCAGAGCAACAGCAAGAGTATTCCTCTGGGCAGCTAAACCAGGAAATCCCAACTGGATGGCCCCCCACGAGGGTCTTCCTCCAGGGGCAAACCAAGAATGGGCAACTTGAAAGTCCCTGAACAGACTCAGAAGTGGAGTGGGCAGATCAAAAGACAACCTGGCAAAATGGCACTACCTAAAAGAATCCCACACCTTGTGTGACTGTGGAGCAGAACAGACAACTCTGCATCTGTATGCTTGTCCCCAATGTCCTGCCGCATGTACAGAGGAAGAATTGTTGGAGGCTAAAGACAATACCGTTGCTGTTGCCTGCTTTTGGTCAAAAGATATATAGCCTCCTCCGCTCCTTCTATCTTTATTGGTTTTATACTAATTTATGCAATGCTTTTGATACGAAATAAATAAATAAATTCCATAGCATGGAGTCATGGCAGTTGAAGTGGTGTCAAACTCGATTCCTTTTAGTGTAGATCAGTGGTTCTCAACCTGTGGGTCCCCAGATGTTTTGGCCTCCCAGAAATCTTAACAGCTGGTAGACTGGCTGGGATTTCTGGGAGTTGTAGGCCAAAACCGGAGGAGGCCCTAGGTAATTTTCAACGGTAAGCAAACAGTATTTTGGTGCCCCCCACCCCCAACCAATCACTGATATATATTTTCTGTTCGCCGTGGGAGTTCTGTGTGCCATATTTGGTTCAATTCCATTATTGGTGGAGTTGAACCAAATATGTTCAACTCTATACATCCCAGTAACTATACATCCCAGTAACTACAACTCGCATATGTCAAGGCAGGCCCGTAGCCAGGGGGGCTGAGTTTGATTCGGGGGGGGGGGGGCTGAGTCTGAGTGAAAGAGGGTCTACCCTAGCAAACCTTTTGTATCGTTACCCTAATACCCCCATGCATATGGGATATATTGAGCATGGTGATCAGATCATGATATGAATAAACATAACAGTTTAAATAATGCACCAGTAAGGCAGACCACCATGAGAATTTGGGGGGGGGGGGGCTGAGTTTTTTCAGGGGGGGGTTGGGGGGGGCTGAGTCTGAGTGAAAGAGGGTCTACCCTAGCAAACCTTTTGTATCATTACCCCAATACCCCCATGCATATGGGATATATTGAGCATGGTGATCAGATCATGATATGAATAAACATAACAGTTTAAATAATGTACCAGTAAGGCCTTCTCGTGGACCACCATGAGAATTTGGGGGGGGGGGATGAAGCCCCCTAACCCCCCCCCCCCGGGCTACATGCCTGTGTCAAGGTCTATTTTTCCTCAGGAGCGCCCCGGGGCAAAGTCAACTATACTGCAAATGCTTACTTTGTGTAATGGGTTGAGCCGCCCTGGCCAAAACACCTGGGGACCCACAGGTTGAGAACCACTGGTGTAGATGCATCCCAAGATTGAAATCTCCCTTCAGCCATGGAAACAAACTAGGGTGACACTAGGCCAGTCACACTCTCTCAGACCCCTTCTACACAGCTGAATAAAATCCCACATTATCTGCTTTGAAATGGAATATATAGAATCATAGAAGCACAGAGTTGGAAGAGACCTCATAGGCCATCCAGTCCAACCCTCTCAGCCTTCTCTTCTTCAGGCTAAACATGCCCAGCTCCTTAAGCCGCTCCTCATAGGGCTTGTTCTCCAGACCCTTGATCATTTTAGTCGCCCTCCACTGGACACATCCCAGCTTGTCAATATCTCTCTTGAATTGTGGTGCCCAGAATTGGACACAATATTCCAGGTGTGGTGTAACCAGAGCGGAATAGAGGGGTAGCATTACTTCCCTATGGCAGTGTGGACTCAGATAACCCAGTTCAAAGCAGATCCTGTGGTATTTTCTGCCTTGTTTTCATTGGACTTCATTGGACTCCTAAATCCTTTTGTTGTTGTTGTTGTTATTGTGAGGGAGAATGGGCTGGTTGCTTTGGGTCGCGCGCGCGCGAGAGAGAGAGACCCCCGCCCCCTCCCTTTGGCGCTTCGTGGGGAAACTTCTCTCCCTTCCTCCCTCCCCCTCCCTTCCCTCTCGCGCCCTCCGCTCAACAGTGCGCTGGAGCGCGCGTGCGCGGAGGGGGCGCGAGCCAGAGAGAGAGAGAGAAGGAGAAGGGAGCGTGTGCGTGTGTGTGTGTGCGTGTGCGCGCGCGCGTCTCGAGCGGCGCGTGGGGCACCTGCTCGTCTGGCGGCAGCGGGCGGCTGCTGCTCTTCAGCCGGCGCGAGCTTCTTGTTCTTGTTCTGCTGCTACTGCTGTTCCGCTGCTTGTTGCCGCTTCCTGTCGCCTCCTCCTCCTCCTACTCCTCCTCCTCTTCTTCCTTGGTTGCGAGTTGGGCTCCTCCGGTGGGGCTTACCCCATCCTTCCTTCCTTCCTTCTTTCCTTCCATCCTTCCTTGCTTCTTTCTTTCTTTCCTCCCTCCCTCCTTCCTTCTTTCCTCCCTCTCCTCTCCTCTCCTCTCTCCCCCCCCCCGCGCTGCCTGCGAGTCACGTGCCCCTTGCCTGAGGCAGAGACTAAAGAGGAACCTTAAAAAAAAATAATAAAAAAAGGGGGCGCCTCATTCCTTCTTCCACCGCCATACTGTATTTTATAGTAACTCGCATTTTTATTCCTTCCTTTTACTCCCGCTCGGTGAGTACCTTTCCGCTGACATTCTTGTCCTCCTTTTTTTTTAAAACTCCTTTTTGTCCTGTTTTGGTTTTTTTTTTCCTCTTCCTTTTTGTTTTTGCTGCTTTTTTTCCTAAAAACCTCTTTGTTTTCATGGATTTGATCCTTTTTTTTCTGATGACAAGTTTTTTCCCCCTTTTTCTTAGCATGCGATGGTTTAAACTGGGAGCAAAAGGTGTTGCTGGGACTGCAAGAGAGAGAGAGAGAGAGATAAGAGAGGAAGAGAGAGGAAGGAGACTTGCCAGTCCAGCAATAACGTAAATGCCTAGACATGATAACGTATTGATACATATGCAGCAGGTTTTGTTGTTGACCAAAAAAAAAAAGCAATGTGAATTATGATGCATATTTTTCAAAACCAAAAAGGAGACAAGAAGTGGCATGTTGCTTAAACTCTCTTTTGCAGAGATTTTTTTTGATGATGTTGTTTTGGGTTTTTTTGGTTTTTGTATATATTGATATGGGATTTGACTATGCATTTTACAGCAGTGTTTACAAAGAGTTTGTGATCTTGCAATACTGGTGCGAGCCACTGAGCAAGATAATTAATCTTTATTAAATGTTTTTGTTTTTCATTTTGTTTCCTTTTTTTTGCACACCGGGTTGCAATCAGCTGTTTTTCTTCTTTTGCTGTTTTTGATGCTGGTTTATAATGTGAAACTTTTCTTGCAGCTTGGTACTGTTGATCATTTTTAACATTTCTAAATAGATCTCTGTCCATATATTCTAAGAGAGCCCAAGATCATTCCTTCCCCAAATTCCATATTTTTTTCCATTCTTCTATACCAAGATAATTTGATGATGATGATGATCATAATGTTGATAGATATGCCCATATATACAAATAAGTTTTCAAATGATGGCAGTGGAAGGTTTTCCTGGAGAATGAAGTGCGGTTTGGTTTCCTTGTCAACGGAAGATGAAGTGAACAGCCGAACATCTCCCCAGTGCAGGTACTTCAGCTCCTTGTAGGCGTTTCCACTCTTTGTAAATTACATTACGAATTGAGAATTGCGTTACTCTCTTTCCTTCTCTGGAGCCTTCGATGCAGAGCTGTAGGTGATGAAACGAGGATGAAGCTAGGTATTCTTTTGTTATGAATGGATGCAAAAAAGCAGCCTGCTCATTCTGCCGTGGTCATTGAAGCTTGGCTGGTTTTGACTACGTAAAGAAGGCTTACCTGCATTGAATGCATGAGATTCGTCTCACAGTTGGACTCCCGAAATGAGGTTCAGACATTGACAGTGCCAGGGCTGGATTGTGGGGAGGAAGAAAGAAAGATGTTGGATTTTGTTCTTGCCCGCTAGGTGTCTGAGGCAGACCTCGCAATAGCATCCCTCTGAGGTTTGTTGCCTCGTGAGCTTGAGACACGCTGCTTCACTCGCTCACAAATAGTCCTGTGTGCAAACCCTAAGTCCAAATTTAGGAGTTTTCCCCCCAACCAAAACACAAAGGAATGTATTGTTTCCTATTTTTTCAGATGTCTGTCAAAGGGATGCAAATTCCAGTGTCAGAAAATGGTTGATTGTTGTTTCATTTTGTTTGTTTTATTCTTGATTTTATGGCAGTGTTCCTGGAGAATTCTTCCTTTCCATTGCAGTTCATGATTTTGGAAGAACCGTGGAACTTTGTGACACTCTTAGTTGTTTAACAGTAATGCGTTGTGATTGACAGGTTTAATTATATATGTTTCATCACTGCCTTGCTTCCCATGCCTTTTGAGCAGATTAACACAGTTGGCCATGTGGTCAAAATGGGAGCACGTTGGCTATTTTGTTGAATTTGTGCTTAGCAATTAGAGGCGGTTTTCACAGGATTGGTAGTTTAACATATTCATGTACAAGTGTGTGATGGCATTTCTTGTTTTTAGCTGTATGGAAAACAATGTTATTGGAAAGGCAATAGTTTCATATGGAATTATATGGAATAATATAATAATTCATATGGAATTTTATGAAGTTTGGTATAATAATCACATCCATATGAAAAACTTTGCTTTTGTGTAATTGGTAGTGTGTGTCAACAATTGGTATGTGGAAATCCAAAACAAAACTAATGCTGCAAAGGCTGTGGACATGTAATATAACTTTTTCAGCAAATATAATTTAAGATTACCTTGCTAAATCAACCAACCTAGCAAAACGTGTTAGAGCAGGCATGGGCAAACTTTGGCTGTCCAGGTGTTTTGGACTTCAGCTCCTACATTTCCTAACAGCCTATTGGCTGTTAGGAATTCTGGGAGTTGAAGTCCAAAACACCTGGAGGGCCAAAGTTTGCCCATGCCTGTGTTAGGGTAAAGTGCTTTTGGAGTCAAACAGTTTTGACTAAATATCTCAAATGTAAATTTGTTTATGTGAAAGTGGGTCATACATATATGCACACTTTTTGTTGAAACATTTACATAAAATATGAATATATTTAAGCTTACAATCTCATATCCATATTCACCAGGGAAGGTTGAGTACCACTTTTCTGAATAACTATGCATGTGAGTTTGGGCTACAGTAGTGATGCATCAGTAACAGTGTATATACCATGCTATAGTTTAAAGACAAATACTGATACCATGTGGAAGAACAGCTCCTTTTTATAGATTCACTTGGGGTTAGTTCCATCAATTTCAGTGGGATGTATATCTTCACCATCTCTGAAGAATAGATAAAGTCTTTTGTTTGGGATACTTATAAATGGTACCTGTTTGGAACACATGATCTTAAAATATCTATTTTAAAATTGTTTGGTCAAGATCTGAGTATCTTTTACATTTGCTACATTTATGTTTGAAATGCTTTGACTGTTGTTTTTTTTTTAACTAAACAAAACATGACAGCATTCCCTTGTTGCATGTGACAATACAGATATGTTGCCTCAGTGATCTTAGAGATCCATGCTTGTGTGCCATGTCTTTATTCACTCTGGCATTACATTGATTATAACATGTTTCCCATATGTGTAGTAATAATTAGAGACTTGTGACAAATTAACCTTTTGGGGAGGAGAATTCAAAATATACATAAGTTTTAATTTGCATTAGTGGAGTTCTTCATGGTGAGATTTCAATGAACGTAGATATAAAGGTTGCCTGTATGCTTTCACGATGATAATGTGGTATTTCAGAGTTGTGGAAAGGAATCTTAGTCAACATATGCACAATATTTTGAAGTATAGGTTGGATAGAGGTGTAGCTTGATTTATTTTTTTGCAGTTAACAGAGAGATATTCATTTAGGCAGGCTTAGATTTGTATAAGGTTGGGCTACAAAAATATTTCAAAATCCAGTATCAGTAATGTTTTTGTGTAATTGTGTATGTGTCTGCAGATGTATATTTTTCTGTTTTGGAAGTTGAATTTTGTCAAGGAGTTGAACTGAAGTTTGGGAATCTGGTAATACTGTTAACTGTAATGAACATTAGTAATTCATAGAAATCTTCCCCAGTTTCTGTACTGATGGATTTCCAGTCAACTAAAAGTTACCTTGTAGCTGAGTCTCATATAGTTGATAGTTGTGCAGAAGGATGTTTGGAAGTGGCAAAAAAGAAGTAATACCATTTAAATAACTTTTATTTTAGCACAAGAAGAGCTAGTTGATGTTGTTTTAAAAAGCTGTCTAACTGGAGTGTGTTGTTGAAAAGTCAGACGTAACGGGGAATACACCTATATGGTTAAGGGCCATTTCAACAAGGCGCTGAGTGTCCTTCAGTTACTAAGAGCACTGTACTTTTGAACTCATACAGACTGCAGCATATATAGAGAAGGATGCAGCAGTGCTTTCATGGTTGATGTTTGCTTGTGTTTTCAGCTTGCTCTTTGAATTAATATACCAATCACTGCAATCCAAACTATATTTGTTTGAATGAAGTCACATGTATTTCTGTAAAACTTAATTTCAAGTACATATATTTGGATAAAGAAGGACTGTGTGCTAATACTTTGTTTGCATAAAACAGTATCATGAATTATCACAGTATCTCATGCCTTTTTTTTTTACTCAGGAGTTAGACTCTGGCATAAATGTGAACATTCAAGTGAAAAACAGGTTTCAATACCATATTGTTATTAACTAGAAGAAACCCATTCAGTCCATCAGTTTTATTTGTATGTTGATTTACTACTCAATGGATAATGGATCTATTCTAGTTGTGATCAACTTGGGATCCAGGCTATTGACTGCAGCCTATGCAGAAAAAGACCTAGAGCTGTATATTAACTAGCTAATGTTTCACAGCAGCATTATAGTATGTGCATTGATTGTATCATGTTAGTGGAAATAGTTGACCACAGTATTGAGTTTTGAGCTGACCGTTTCTTTAACTGGTGGGATTTTTTTTATGGCACATCACAAGTTTCCACATTTTTGTGTTGATGCCCTTCCCCCATCAGTAGTAAAATTCTTTCACACTGAAGGAAGTGTGTGAGGGAGACATCTTTCTAATTCCTACTTTTTCACCCTTTTTGCTTCCTGAAAAGCTGGTGTACAGAGGTGTAATGGGATCAGAGGTCACAGATTAGCACTTTGATTTCCAAGAATGATATTGTAATTTGCTTCAGACCCCTCTATTTTATCTATACTTGATAGATTTCCTCATTGTAGCTGATGGTTGATGGATATGGTCTTTCTCAATAATCATACATTGTGAAATACCCGCCATTGTGTATTTTGGGCTGCATTAGGTTTGAATGGCAATTCATAGCCATAAAATATCTGTTTATGATGCAGATGAAAGGTCCTAAAATGGTTTTATAGATAGGGATCGTGTTGCCTGCATTTTTAATTATCCATGGGAAATGGTTATGGGGTCTAGCAGGAGGAGCATGTGCACATTGTACATCTCTGAAGCATAAGAAATGATACAAATATTTACTAAAAGGAAGGAGAAACCAATGAAGATCCACTCTCTACTCCTCTACTGCAGGAAACCAGTGAAGAAACCAGTGAAGAACCCCTCTACTTCTACTTTATTGGAGCCTGTTAACTTCTGAGAATGAAAGGAACCCCTGGTCCATATAATGGTCAAGCAGGATTCAATACATTGAGTTTTCCATTTTTCTCCATGTTTCTTTATTTATATCCATATACCATGATTTAGATTTCTCATCACATCAAAAAATGTAGGGTAATAGACTTTCTAGTTAATGTGTTTTTGGTTCTATTCTTTTTTATGGGAAGTGAAGAATGTTTGGACATCTCCATTCTCCTTTTTGAGTACACTGTGATAATGTAAGTGTAGTGGTGGAGATGTAGCTTTCAGCAGGTTCATACCTCTTTGAACTGAGGAGTCATTTTAGTCATTCTGCAACAAAAACTTCATATAATGTCTTTTGAATGTGTATACATATACCTCACATGCTACCTTTTGCGTATGAAACCATAAATTAAGTTTTTGGTTTTCCTGGACTAATGGTATATTTGTGTGTGTATTTTATTTATTTATTTATTTGGTACACTTGTATACCGCTAATTTCTCAGCCTGGATCGGCGACTCAATTGCGGTTTACAGCAAATTAAAAACAATCTCCAATTTAAAACATATACACATACAATAACAAATTATTGGGCCACCAATAATAATCCCATATGTCTCGAGTTGAAATCACAGTCCAGAGATCGTTGTCCATATTTTCTGTCCATAGTCACCAAGAATCGATTGCCACAGATTAGCCGAATGCTAGTTTGAACAGCCATGTTTTTAGTCTCTTCCTAAACACCATCAGTGAAGAGGCTGATCGTACCTCTATAGGGAGGGTGTTCCAAAGCCGGGGGGCCACCACAGAGAAGGCCCTGTCTCTCGTTCCCGCCAGCCGCACTTCTGAAGCTGGAGGGATAGAGAGAAGGGACTCTCCAGAAGATCTTAGGGTCCTGGTGGGCTGATAGGCTGAGATACGTTCGGATAGATAAGTTGGGCCAGAATAGCAGTTAAAACAGGACAATTTCAAAATTAAAGGCCTTATCCAA